TTCAGGGAAAAAAAAAAAGGATTATTTTAAGGTATTAATTCAATTGGTGGTCAAAATTTCTTTTGTGTAGTTGAAACTGGTTTTTGATAATTGTTTTTCAACTGTCTGGCATATTTAAGGTTTTTTTTTTTTAATTTGCAAAGAATTCTTTTCCCCTGCATGTGGAAGAAAGGTATATAATTACTTCAACTCAAAATCAAGCAATTGTTCAGTCTTTGTAAAAGAAATTCATGTTTAAGAGAGAACTGTTTCATTGAGTGACTGGCTTGGAACAATGGATTGTTTGAAGAAATTCTGAAACAAAGGGCTTTTTAGCTACAGCTGGAAAGTTCATAACCTTGCAGTTTGGTTTTGTACAGTTATGTGTATATATATATGCTCAGTCTCTCAATGCAATTATGGCATAAGAGTTGATTTGGTTTGCTGGGGGACTCTGATTACTCTTGAGTTGATAGCCCATTCACATCTATGTGTATAGGCTAAGGTGGTAACTCACTCTAGGACATTTTGTGCTCGGTTTTAAAATAATTTGGTAGGCATAGACTGTGAATTACACATGCAAATTATGAACTTGCTTTATTGTTCTGAGTGTTAGCCAAGTTTTTTCACTTTTATTGTTTTGCTTGTGACAAACACAGTTGATGATAAATGATAATAACGCTACATTTTTCAAGGCAAGGAAGTACATCATGTTCAGGCATCAAACCTGTTCTTTTTCTATTTTAGTGGACTAAAAGCACACAAATAGCCCCCTGTGTCCCCCCCGCCTTGTTTTTTTTTAAATGTAACTGGAACATTGGAGTAGGTTTTAGAAATATGATAATAACTCATTCCTTGGGCATCCAGTTTGTGTACTGAAAATGAGTTTTTGACGGACTTATAATTTTGAGAGTAAAAAAAATGCTGGACTTCAAAACTTGCCCCATCCACCATTGTTTTTACATTGTGTTTTACCATGTTTATCATTTGAACATTTCATATTCGATTTGGTGCTGAAATAAGAAATTTAAATGGTTGCCTGAGTACTCATGCATGGGGCTGGGGTTTGGGCTGTGCCTGTTCCTCTTCCAGTTATTGTAAGCAGTGGTATTGATAATTGGTGCAGGGATAAAACATTTTTCCCTATAAATGCTTTAATTTCAGGTGACTTTGTTTCCATATTAAGACTGCTCTGTTGGGTAATGTTTGTAATTCCACAGATTTATTTTGCAGTTCATGAAAGTTCCTGGGGAGTCATTGAAGAGTTTCTAAAATTGCATGCAAAACTTTTAAATCGATTTTGTTTCAAAATAATTTTCTCCATATGGCACCAGCGCTTTGTGTATATTTTTGGTATCTTTTTCCTTTTTATGACTAAATGTGCATGTGTAAAAGGTTTCTCTGATCTAATCTGGTGGTGTTTTTCTCCCTTGAAATCCTGTTGGTGGTTCTATAGTTGTCACCACAGTAACATCTGATGAATCTTACTTCAGAGGGGAGAACAGGCAACAGGAGGAGACAAAGTGGTAATGGATGAAAAGAATCTTGCCACCTTATAAAAGTTGCATGCCATTTTTATTAATTTATTTAAGAAAAGCTTTTTTTTTTTTAAAAAAAAAAAGTACTTTTGCACATGATTCCCAGTCTCCCAGTGTGTCCTAGGAACTGGTGTTTTCTAATGCATTACACTGAGGGTGTGGAGATCTCTGCAGCGGAATCCTAGCTCAACGTAGGGCGTGTTCAGACGTTGGAAGTGATGCGGTGTGTTCCTGCTGCAAGGACATGCTGGCTGGTGTCTCTGGGAGAGATCCAGGCTGATGAGAGGCACTGGTGTTGAGCCATGGGCATGGAGAATCCGTAGTGCGGGCTGCGCTGGTGCAGTGGGCAGGGGGACTGGGAGCCACCGAAAGTGTGTGTGCGGTCGGGAGAGCCTGGGGTGACAGTGAAAACTGTATGGTGAGCAGGAGCAGCCCAGCAACGCGCTCTTCTGCTGACTGCCTAAACCAGATGTTGTACCCCAAGGGCTCTCTTTGAGTGATCGGGGTATGCCCAAAGCATTCTTAACGCACCCTGAGCCTTGTCAGCTGCCTGATGACATTATTTGGGTTTAAATTCCTTCTGTTTGAATTATTATCTTCTCTCTAATGATGCAATATGTTATTGAATATTAAGTGTTTCAGTGAACTTCTGACTCCTGTTCTCAAAAATCAGGTAATGAGCCAAGATGTTAGACTTCTGTCCTGCTTGGGGTATGGAAGTTGTATACAAAATGATTCTTGCTTTTTCATTCGTAACTCTCCAACAGAGATAATGCAAAGACAGTCATCTCTAGGTCTTGGTAAGGAGTGCTGTTTACCATATATTTGCACAAAGTGGTCTTCTTCCAGTGAAAATGTTACTGAAATGGTAAAGATGGGCAGCAGACTGTGGTACCTGCACTGGGAGGTGTGCTGGGGCTTCCTGGGGCTGAAATGGGTGATGAGCAGCTTTCACCTTCCCTTGTCTTAGGGACTGGAAATGTGGCTCCACCTTTGAAAAGTGCTCAGTAAAATCACTATGTGGGTCTACTATACCAAGACAACTTCTCTAGTATGAGACAAGTTGTTTGTTAAAACTTTTTTTGGCAGAAATACCCTTTGTAAACTTCAACAGTTGTCCGTGTTATCAGGACTCTGCTTTGCTGTGCTGGAATCTGTCCTGTGAGAATGAGTGGTTTTGGGCTGTTTTCCTTAATATGTGCTGTGAACAAACATAAATGCACTGATATCTGTGTATAAAGTTATGGCTTGGGGGATGTATTTTTACAATTTATGCCTGCTGTCTTCTAACAAACAGGATTAATTTTGTTGTAAAACCTTTAAAGTAAATCCAAGAGAACTGGTATCCAACTGCTGTCCCATGGTTTACACTAAAATCTCCCAACTGTTTGTGTAACATAGTTTGTTATGTAATTTCTGCAATAACGTACAGACTGTTTGAGCTGACAGGCATCTTTATGAAAGAGAGTTTCCAGAAAACAACATTTTCCAACTTGTTAGTTGATTTCTGCAACCCTGCAATTTGGCATATGCTTGAGAACTTTACAATAGTTTATATCACAGAGCCTGAACATGCAGTAAAAGTTATTGATCAATAATTCACCAAGTATTGTGGTCACTTAATTCAGATTTTATTGAAATCTGACAAAATTTTCTTATTATTTAAAATACAGGCTGAAATCATCTGTCTAGTTGTTTGGATTTTTTTTAACTTTGAGCAATGAAGAGGTCTGTCTGATGTCACTGAGCTCATATGTGTAGTTAAATAAATATGTGTGTGTGTATGTACATGTGTTCATATATCTACACAGACACGGATTCTTCCAATGTTGATACAGTAGTGATAGCTGAATTTAATAATACCCTGATTTAAGTAGCCTCTGTGACTACTGTAAAATACATACAAATGTAGCAAGCAAAATTCTGCTCCATCGTTGTTGAGGGCACGGTAAGCAACCGTGTCGCGTTAGTGCCTTGAGGAGATCCAGTAAACAGGTTCCTTTAGCAGCTGACATGAACACCTAATTTCCGCAATGGGAGCCGTTCTTCATCTTTGCAGATGGGTGCTTTGCCTCTAGTCCAGTGAGCATTGTATAACTCTTCACTACTAGAAAAGCTTTAAAGATACATTTAAATTTTATGTAGGCCTAAGTGTTTAAAAGAAACAAAATAACCATAAAGACTTTATGCATTTATGTGCTTGCTCTTACAAAAGCAGTCTGGGATGGCATTTTGGGCTGTTATTACTGCAACAGCTTGAAAGCTTGCTGAGCATTGACAGGAGTTGCGTGATTCCATTGTTAGCCACGTTAGTAGCTTATTGCCACAAAATCCATGATGTAGGATGGTTCTTATTTATTTATCTTGAGTTACCATCTTAAATCCTTTACACTGAAGCTTCTCAGCTGTCCAGCAGTGCTACTGAGTTTGACCTGTTGTGTTCTGTATTGTAAGTATATAAATACTGACTTAGAAAAGAAATATTTTCCTTGTCATGTTAGAATGTAAAATTATGTTTGAAGATTAAAACCTGAATAGTCTTTTCAAGCAGGTTTTTTTTAAAAAAAAGTTGCGATGTATCTAGCTTGATTCAATTCTCATTCACCTCAATTTGCAGTATCCAGGGCACTGAGATGCTTTTTTTAACTTTGTCTAAGAAAAGCATGCATTAAAGTTTTTTAAATTGATTATTTTAATTAAGAAATAAATAGCTTTATGAAACATGTCTTTCAATGGTCAGTTGTATTCTTTTCAGAATATGTGATCAAACCACAGAACAAAAACATTTTACTTCAGGGGCAGATAGCAGCTGAAGATTGTTATGACCCTCTGTAGCATGCTTTTGTCTCTTGTAGATTGTGCCTTTTCCTCGGAAGGTAGGTTTGACAAGGAAAACTTGCTTTAAGCAGCTCAAAATGAGCTACCTCTGTTCGTGCGATGAGTTACTGTGGTGGCTGGCAAAGGGCGTTTCACTTGGCTTTTATCTGGATCTGCTGACAGTCTTGGCAGTTTGGATTTTTGTCACTAACAATTTTGGTGTCAAGGTTTTTTCTTTGATGTTGATAATTTCTTTTGTTATGGTCAAAATCTAAGCTTACACCTAAGCCTTGAATTTTGAGGTTGAAAACACCTTTACTCTTTGAAATATTGTACTTTACCTACCGAAGTATCTTTCAAATCCTCTCCAGATAAATTGTCTGGTGCCTGTGAGTATAAAGATATTGTCATTACCAACAAGCAGAACAGAGAGAATTGTGTTGTACATTAAATAATGAAAGTGAGACCCAGTAATACCTCTGAAAATTGTGTGATGCAGACACAGAACTTTCTGGACTGTGCTGTTGGTTGAAATTATTTCTTGTTGCCAGTGCTGTGTGGAGGGGTATGTCTCATCTATGGATTCTACAGCCTTTGCTAAGTAGAGCCCTACTTTGCTGTAGGTGTTGCTAAAATAATTTACATCTGTTTTATTTTCCCCTTCAGCTCCAGTTCAGACATTTTGAGAGATCTGCAAGGGCCTGAGACATGTTCAGAATCCTCTGACAAGTAAGTAGAATATATGAGTGGTAAAGTCCTTGTTTCCAGTTGGTGGAATCCTATGCGTTTTCTGCAGGAGAAGCAAATGCTTCTGAAAAGTTAGGTTCTTGGAGAATCTCCACAGTTGTGCGAGACAAAATTTGGTCAGTGTTTTTGGATCATTGGAAAATAATACCTGGGCACTCCAAGGGTCCACAGATGACCAACTGAAAGTCATTGTTCAAAGGTATATTTGAGTATGAATATATATTTTAAAAAAAAGAAAAAGAAAAAAAATAATGACGGAACTCATTTTTATGGAAAATTAAGAGAATCTGATCTTCTGTTGTATTTAAAGTTACATTGTTGTCAGTCTCACCTACATCTCTGTCAAGTTGAACATGCTGGAATTGCAGCATCTGTTTTGATTTACTTCTGTTTGCAGAGAGAAGAGCACTTCCTTGTTTTTAAAATCTTAACATCTTATTTCTTAAAACCAAAAATTCCCTTCTCATATATAGTGGTAATATTTAAAATTTGGGTCTGGCTGCACGAGATGTTGTACAAGGAAATACTAAGAAACCATCCAAGGATTCTTGAAGTAACCAAATGAAATACATGAAGATGGAGAGTATGTGGGTGCTGAAGGTGTGTAGTTATAGTGAAATTTGGAACAGTGTAGTGTTAGACCAAATGAAAAGCTCTGTAGTTATACAAAGAAACAGGAATGAAGACTAGTGGAGTCTGCAAAAGTAGTAGTTTACCCTTGCAGCTGAAACTGGCTTGATCTGGGATCTGTCTTCAAATACCACATCCACTTTGGTAGTTGATCTTAGGGGCATGATGAGAACCATACTGCATTTAATTCTCATAGTCTGCTTTTTAAAGAGTATTTATGACAGTTTTCTCTATTATCCATTACATACACATGTGGTCAAGATTGTGACAGCTCTTAAAATTCATGATTAATGGCAGAAGTAACATTTGAAACTCTCTTAAAACGTGTTCAGATAACCTAATGGATTCTAAGGAGCTTTAATGGAAACACTGATAAGGCCTTGATTACAGTGGTGTCAGAGGTCAATGGCAGAGTGCACCACTGGAAAAACAGAAAGTAATCATAAAGCATTTCTCGTAGAGGGAGGCATTGCTTTGGGAAGGTGAGCGGTGTTTACGGGAAGGACACTTGCAAGCACACTTTGTAGTACCTGCAAGTGACTCCTTGAGACGGGCAGTAAAGTAAACAATACTTGGTTGTACGTATTGCACATGCTAGTTCCTGTTCCCCTGGTGATGATCTGGTGCTGCTGCCATGTATCAAAGAGTAAGCAGCTACAGCTATCTTTCACAGATATTTTTAGATCTGCTACAAGATTTATGCATGACCCTTGAATTTATGCAAGATTTATCATGAGACCAGGGATCATCTAACGTCCTTGGTAACCACCTCATTGCGTAATTATCAATTACCTGTGAAGTATTCTATCTCAGCTGGCTATTTCTCAGTGAGTTGGATTGCTAGGAGTTGGGCTCCTGAATAAAAGCCAATCCATAAGGATTTGTGGCTCTGAATTGTGATCAAAATGGGAAAGGTGGAACTGTGGCTACCAGAGCTGGAGGGCTTGTGAGCAAGGGGAACCAGCAGCTTGCAGCTCCCTGCATTGTCTTGGCTAGATGCTTGAGGCATGAAAATGCACAGCAAGAAATGGAGAAAACAGGTGTCTATCCCTTTGAGTGCATCTTTTTCTGTTTGGAGAGGAGTGAAAGACATGAGTGGAGAAGCCAAGACAACTGAGAGCTGCTCCTGCCAGCTGCATGTATGTGCATCTCTCTCCTTGGCAGTGTGCATGTGATGAAGCTGCTGCTGCTGCCACCACAGCTGCTTCTGCCTTATGTGGTGGGAAACCAGAGTAGGGAGGGATGGTAGCTGGACAGCAGTGAGGAGATGAGGATGGGGACATAAGAAGTTAGAAGACGTTTCTTGATTTCCTTTTGGTTGCAGTTGGGAACTTACTGAATTTATGGAGCTTGGTAATGCCCATTGTCATCGGTTGCTTCAAATGCTTCTGAGCTCATTATCTCTTGCAGTCTACTAACACTTTGAGGCTACATCTAGATTACAGGACAGGTGCTTTTTGCCATGTTTCCTGTGGCCCTGGTTCTTTGCTTACCGTGTCTGTGCTAACTCCTGCTGAGGAGGATCGTGCTGCAGCCCCTTGCTAGCCTGGTCAGAGCTGGTCATAGCTGGATGTACTCCAGGAGTAAGCAGCGTGGTTCCTTCCATGGGGCTGGCAGACATTTGTGTGGCAGGGAATGGATGGCATTGCTGTTCTTGGCTATCCAATAGAATATTTTTCATTTTTTTTTAATAAATGTTTTAGCTTCATTTTACTTCTGTACCTGCCCTGAGTTATGATATTAAATGTGTATATTTTTCTAAAATTATAATTCAATCTGTGCTGTTTGCCTGCTTGACTATTTGTTTGAATGGGAAAAATCCACCTGGTCAGGTCTCAAGGCTTTTTGTTAAAATCAGTTTGGATCAAAAAAATGGAAGAAACAGGACTGTGGAAAGTTTGAGCTGTAAATTTTAGGGACCCGAGCAAAGAAACTAGAACTGCAGCTGTGATGAAATTCAGATCACTCGTCTAAGAAGGCTATTGAGAAACACAGATTTTTGTTAGATGATTTGGGACAAAATACATCAGTATTGTAGAATTAATACATCTGCTTCATTTTTGGAGGAGTTTAGATTTAGGAAGAGCAATAGCCAACTCAAACTGTAATGGAAATTACAGGTGCTTCCTTTGTCAGGACTGGGGTGTTTATCCGAGAGGGCTGGAAACCCTGGCTGTAGAGAAGGCTTCCAGCAGAAGGTCTGTTGAAGGACTTGATTCCTGCTTGTGCTTGCAGGTGGAGGTCAAAGACACATTTTTCTGGTTATGTGGAAGAATGGCATGTGGTGTACACTGCCAGAAGCAGTTTTGTTGGCTAGCCTTAGGAGAAGGAACTTGGCTTGGAAAACTTGTCCTTCCTGCAGTGATCCGCTGCATGGAGAGGCAGTTCATGAGGCTGGCGGCAGAGCACTGTGTGAATGTCTGTGTTCCCGTGGCTGACTTAGCAAGCATCCTGCTTTATCCATGACAGACCGGGACTTCATAGCAACCTAAAAATGTCTGGTTGAAACTGCTGCCAGTTTTTTGAACTGTACCTGTTAAAATTACTTCACCTGATGAGAGCGAAGATGTGAGGGTGTCCAATGCTGGTTGGTGTCATGAGCTGGTGTGCTTTTGCTTTTAAGGCCAGTGACCTTTACCAGGATGCAGTCATTGGCATGAAAATGTACCCAATCAGTTCAGCTTCTGAGTATGTGGAGTGACTGCTCTGGCGCGGCGGTGGAGCATGGGGCTGGAAGTTGTGGATGTTGTGGGGCTCTGCTGGTTCGTGCGAGGGCTCAGCAGCAGATCAAGAGATAACAGCCAGGGAGTGAATTGTTCTGCAACAGCACCAGCATGAAGAACGGTAACAAGAGGTATATATTTTTAAAACAAACTTGCACATAATGGTAGAACTGTAACTAATTACCATGGGGAACCGTGTACTTCCTCAGTGTTTTTATAAGAATTCATTGCAGCCTCTTTTGTTGAGGGGAAAGCTTAGGTTTTGATGATTCTGTGCTTCCTGTAGGAGGATATATGACATACTTCTGATGAGATTTTAGTTGTCTATGTAATGCCTGGAGTATATGGCTTCTATTACATCTAGCTTTAATTTTGTAGGTAGTAGCTAGTCTACTGTACATGTTAAAAACATCCAGTTTAGAAGTATTTTTGAGAAATTTTGTAAAAGTGAATGGCAAGGCTAACAGTCTTTACCTTTCCAGTCATATTTTTCATATCTTTGGAGACTGCCAGCTCCAAACTTGCAGATGGTGGACTATAGTTTCTTTGTCAGCAGGTAGTGACTTGCAGTTAATTTTGGTGATGGTACAACCAAATCTTTCTTTTTTTGTGCTCCCTGAGCTCCATTCTGGAGATGCCAGTTGGCAGAATTATTTTCTGCAGTACAGGAGACAATATGCTATGGCTTAAGGGTTTGGCATCTGTGGCTTGTTGCATGAGTTGGAAAAACACATTACCTAGTGGAAGAAGAAATGAGAATGCCAATAATGAAAACAGTACTAGAGTTCATTAATGGAGTGTTTCTACCTGGCAGTAATGGATGTTAACATCAGTTACGATATGTATCCATAGCAAAATAATTTGTTTCTTTGATAATTTCCTTCACCCAGGAAACTTCTCAGTCATTTGGTGGATTTGTTTTAGTTGACTGGTAATAAAGTTTGGCCAGTTGATAAGTGCAGAAGGTTGTTAAGTAAAGCAGATCTGCAGCTTTAATGAAAGTTACTCTTTCTATTCATTGCAGAACTGTATCCTGCAGGAGGCTGAGTGGCACGGTAGGTCAAGTGAGGGCTTTGGCAAACTTATCACGGGAAGGCACAGGCCAGCATACCAAAGAAGAGACAGATGGTATATTTCAGAACCAGCCCAGATTTTATAAAAGTTGAGTTATACCAGAAAGATATCATCTCTCTTACTTTATTTTTATAAGAGTTCATAATCAGATATTTGCAAAACAAGAGAACCAAGTAATGTAGAAGCTCCAGGTTTTGGCTTTGTGTCTTAATACACTTTTGAATGTAAGGTAATTACCATTCTGCTGTGAAAGTATGTAGGCATCAAAGCTAGAAATGGGCAGAACATAAAACAATAAAGCTAGCCTTAAACTAAATGAGATTTCTCTTTATTCTGTGTCCTAAGTAATTTGTTATTCAAGGGTAGTCATATTTTGCAAATTCTCGAAAACAAACAAACAAAAAAACAAAAACGGGGGGAGGTATAACTGCTGATGGATGCTCTTTGTAAAGTGACACATTATGAAATTGGTAGTTTGAATGTTGTTTATCTTTGCCCTATGTTGCATTATAGTTTAGCCTTCCAGATACTTAAACTATTGGCTTTGAGTTATAT